ATTATTTTAAATTTTAAAAGCCCAATGTTTAAAGTTTGCAGACTATTTTAGAAATGTGCAAATTCCTTAAACCTACAATATAAATAAGTGTCACATAACATGGTAGTCAAGCTCTAAAATATTTATACCATATTTGGGGACAATTTATAATTGATCTTTTTAAGATCAAGATTATAATGTATAAACAGAAAACTAGAATATAAAACATAATGAGAAGAAAAAATCATCTAAACTGTAGAATTTCTTTCTTCTATTATTTCTGTAATAAATTTTTTTCCTATAAACTTTTTAGGGAGCACTGGTGGCCTAAGGGCAGGAAGCAGCTATGTAATCCCAAAGACACATGGTTCAAATCCACCAACTGCTCCACAGAAGAAGGACAGGAAATCTCTTCCCATGTGATTAACTTTCTCTGAAAACCCGCCAGAGGGTCAGCTATGGGTTGGTTCCAACTCAATGGTACACAACAACATAGACTTTTTAATTAAAAAGTTGAATCTTGTACATTATAATTCAAACGGTTTATGTGCTAAGCTCCAACTGAAAGATTAGTGGTTCCAATCCACTCAATAGCACCTCAAGAAAAATCTTGGTCATTTTCTGGGGAAAGTAGATACAGAGAAAGGCTACATTATCTAGGTATTCCTAGAAGTCAATGAAAAAGAGGAAGATTGTCAATGAAATGGAGTAGAATGGAGATTGTGAGGATGATGCAGAATTGGACAGGGTTCATAGGGTTGATATGAGGTCGTCAACTCAATACACTTTACAATAACAAAGTAGTATATTTATACTTGCATTTATATTGGGTCACCATAAGTCAGAATTGACTAATAGTAATTTGTTTTTGGTTTGTTGTTGTTATATTGACCAACAATGAGATTTGCAGTACCACCAGGTGACAAGTGGAAGGTTTGCATGTCAGAAAACTTTAGAAAATAATAACAGAGTAAACACTCATTTCATTGTGTTTTCATTTATAATCACATTTGTCTTTCATGATGAATTCACAGGCTCTGAGTCCTGTTTCTGCACTGAACTTCTAACTCTGGGCACTGAGCACTGTGCCTACCTCACATTAAGATATAATGGTGTTATTAAATGTGAACTTTTCTTCACACACTTAACATACATGTAACTCTCTCCCCTGGGATAAATAAATAAATATTTATACAACCATGAAAAATCTCAAATCATTTCAGCAACATTAGAGCAAATGATAGAACAAACATGTCCATATGTACACACTCTTGTGCACACCCACGTACAAACACACACACAATGTAGTTGGGAATGAGAAAAGCAAATGGACCACATGAAAATAATCAGATACAAAAATCAAACACCCCCCCAAACCTTCACATCTCTAGACAGCAAGCAAATCACAATATTTTGAGTGACTTTTTTTCTATTTAAATTTATTTTCTTTTCTTAAAAATCTTGAAAGTCACTGCAAAATTATGATTATGTTACCAACTTTTCACAAGAAGGAACTTACTTTTAGAGAGATTCTAGCACAGTTAGTAGGATAACTACACATCAGTGCTGTCACATTGTCAAGTCTTCTTTGAACATAATGCATTTGAGTCCATTGCAAATTTTAATAGCCACAAACAACAAAATTAAATCTGAATGGATGCCGCACCAACTTCACAATCTGCTAAACTTAAAATCATTGTCACAGCTGATGTGTTAATAACAATAAACATAATTTTAAAAACAAATCACAAAACCACCACACACCCTACACAGTAAGAAATGACACCTATGTGACAGCCCCCCACCCCCTCTGGGATTTTATGGTCTAAATCACAGGAGATGAGATTGCCCATCTTTCTCCAGTGGAATTGCTAGTGGACATAATAAGAAAGTCCAAAGAGCTATTTGTCAACTTTTTAGGAATTTTTTTCCAAAGATTCGTTTTCATTCCCTTCATTTTTCTCTCATGTTAGCACTGGTTGAGTCAAATTATTCCACAGAAGAATGAAAAATCCAGCACAGAAAGGTCCACAGGATAAAAGTTTCGGAGTTATCTAATATTTTTTTCTTTTAATGGCGATAGTGGAGGTTGGAGAAGTCAGGGTTTTTATCTAGAATTGTTGAAAGGTAATATTTCTATTTAAAGCCCACATCCCTGTTCAGAATGGCTGCCACAGTCAACCCTCCTCTTTCCTATTTACTCTGAAACTACATTATAGCTTTGAAAACGTCAATCCTATTTAAAAAAAAAAAAAAAACAACCAAAGAACACCACAAACAATAGTAGCCATTTGGTGATTTCTGATCTCAGTGATTACCAACTGTGGCCTTTATTATACATAACAGTCACCGGCACTTCACCAACAGGGAAAGTCAGACCTAGTTTGATGCCCAAACAAGATTAAAAGGTGACTAAGACTTTCTGAATCTATACATAAATTCACACATCTTTAATAAAATGTACACGAATAATGTCAGGAAGGAAAAGATGTGTCCTACAATTCAAGAATTGATCACATCTGAGTTCTGAGTCTATCACTGTATTGTGATAGAGAGATAAACCTTTGCTTGGAGTTCTGGTCGATGCACCTTCATCTGTCTTTTTAAGACTTAATGGTAAAATATTGTTGCTGTGGCAAAACAATGCTCTATGTACTGTGAGGCTATCCTAACGACAGCTGCTCAGGCGGCCAATTAATAAAATGAGTGACATTAGGCAAATAGCAAACTGGAGCTGCATGAGAGTGGAATGGGAGGAGGAGGCAAGACCATAATCCTTTTTGAAACCTGCTGGAGCAGGACTGCCCCCCAAAATCTGCAGATTCGCTCAGGGGTTCGCCCACACGCAGGCCTGGTTGTGGAGAGGCCAGGGTAGCAGCTATTTTGAGGTGCACTAAGCTCCTTCCCAACAACCTGCCCCCGCCCCCAACACCTGCTGGATGCCCTGGAACCTGGGGGAGGGGCAGGCCCATATCTGGCCGACCTGGCTCCAGGCTCCCAGAGTCCAGCTACAAAGACCAGGAAAAGGTGCATCCCTCAGCAACCTCCACAACACTCGCTCCGCAGGGAAAGGCAAGGTGTCCCCCCAGGGCCCAGCACCCCTTCTTCACCCCGCAATCCTATAGGTAGCGAGCCCACCTTCTGCCCTGCAACTAAGTAGTAGTGCCCCTTCCCCACTTCCCATTCCCTTTCTGCACAACCCCCTCCAGACCGCCTTGGCCCATCGGGGTGAGAGGAGAGCCAAGGCGTATCCTGGCCTCCAGCGCTGGGCATTGCGGCCAGCCGAGCTGCAGCTTCCCGGTTGCCAGAGGCCATAACCAACCTGTAACCCTAATGCTCATAATGGTCATGGTGACCGCAGGATGCAGTGGCAGCGATACCGGATTGTGTGGTGGCAAAAGCGGGGAGGGTTGGAGCAGGCAGCGGCGCGGCCCCCACAACCCGGGCGGAGACGCGGGCACCTTACCTATGGCAGCTGCCGTCATTGCGCGCTCGACCCCGGCTACTGACTGCGGCTCGGCTTTGATTTTATTAATTAATAATGTTACAGTGCTACCACTGGGGCGACTGAGAGGTGCTTGGGATGGAGATTGTGAAGCCTTTACTTTTTTTTTTTTTTTTTAATTTGGCTGTGAGGCTGGAGCTGCGATGATGCTGTGAGTTGAAGGGAGGAAACCAGAGAAGAGGCTGCTCTGCAGTTGGTGGGGATCTGGAGGATCTGTCCTCCCCGGGTTCCTTTTCCTGGCTGCCACTGATAGTCGCACAGCAACAGCTGGGATCTGATAATGCGAACCAGCTTCCGTGGTCTCCTTCCCGTTCACGAAATGTGTTTGTGTGTGCTGGAGTTCAGCATACAGGGCGTACATGCAACGTTACCTGCTAGATACACTCAAACCCTGGGTAGTTTAGTGTGCATGCGCTCACATTTGTGCGTAATCTTGTACTGCACACATCATCCGAAGATGCAGACAAATATTATCCCGAGTATGAAATTGCTAAATAGCGAATACATCACACTAACCTTCCTAAATATGTTGACATGTTCCCTTAAAATTTATGTAGATGAGGCTGAATATCTTCTCGCAAATTGGGGTTATCCAGAGTCTTGTAATTCATACCCCCACAGGAAGCTGCATCCAGTATTTCCTGAAATAGATCAAGTTTTAGAAAATCTTGGCACCCTACACTCTCCCCAGGCCGAGTGGATGTCCACACACTCAGCATCTCGTGGGGAAAGGGTTACTGTAGGCTTGGCACCTTGCCCTGTAGTCAGATATTACAGCCACAAGGAACACTTGATAATAATTCAGATATCATATACACAGGCACATAAATAAAGGGAGAGTGAACACTAACGGAAGTTTCCACTAGAAATGAGAATCCTCGATTAAAAACAAACAGAAAACAAACCAAGCAGCTCTCTCACAAAGTGTTACATCCAAAGAGATGTAAAGTCAGTTGTGCACACACAAAAACATCTTTTAAAATATGTTTTCTATTATGTATATTTAATTGTTAGCATTTTTACAACCAGCTATTCATGATCTATTCCTATGTTAATACATTAGGTGGCTGACAAGAAATTTTTAAATGGCTAACATTTCAAGTAATGCAGAATCTGATTTATTTTTTCCCTTCAAATTCTAGAAAATTTCTACGTGATCAATTTTATAAAAAGCTAAGACATAAACAAATGATGAAACTGCGTGGAGTTATTCTTTATGATACAAAATAGAGAGTAACATACAAAGATAAGGCTATATACCAATTTGTTATGGAAGACTACAAGTTTATTTAGTTCTCTTGAGTTGTTGCTCTCAATTGTTTGGTTTAAATAAATTTATTTTGGATTCTAGAAAGAATAAAATACAATTGTTTACAATTCTTTGTAATTGCCAGATTAGACCACTCATAAATATTTAAGGGAAAATAGATGTATAAGGCTTTAAATGAAGTGATAAAATAGGAATATTGTGGTTAAATTCTGTCAAGTTGGAACTAATAATTGACCCTTTAGTAGATTTTCACAAGCTTTTAATCACTCAAGTGGAGATTGCCCATCTTTATCCAAAAAAGCAGCTGGTAGATTCCAACCACGTGCCTTTGGCTTAGTAGTGCAATTCCTTACACACTTGGCCACCTAACTATAGCAGTAGTATAAGACTTATTTTTTAATAATCTCTGCACCAACTCTCACTAGCTAGATAGATTTGTCAGATACTTTTCTGCCTATGACTAAACTAGCTTTAAAGGGAGTTCTGCTAGCCTAGTGGTAAGAATCTGCATGGCAACCCCAAATACAAGAGGTTCGAATTCACCAACTGCTTCTGGGGAGAAGGCTAGACAAGCTTTAAAGTATCTTCAAAAAAAGCAAGGGCCACATGGGGACATCCTTTGCCAACTTCACAAAGGGGAAGTGTCCCCATCAATGACATCAACAACATAAAACCAATTCCCATGCTGTTAGATGTCCTCCATCCTCCTCTTTCTACTCATCCCAACAATCTTGTTGCTTTACCAGGTCTAAAATCTGTTTTGTTAGCTCACAGACCACATAGAACCATATTAAGGAAGTAAAAAAGCTATAATTCATGTTAGTAGCAGAATATCATCACTCAGTCAGGATAGTTTCCAAAATGTGCTAGCAGATACCTCAGCCTTGAGCTTCACTGTTCTAGGTCAGTGTTACAAAGCTCTCAGTCTTGCCAATTATGACTCTTCCCCTCCCTCCAATTGCCCAACAAATTTATGTAAAGACTCCTCATTCTGGTTCCATAGAGGCAGCAGTCACCAAAGTCTGCTCATGTCAAGTCTCTGCAGCTTCTATGGCTGGCTCCTATTGGCTCTGGTATGACTGGCACAAGTATCTCTGGCCCCAAGGTATTAGTTGCATTCTCATGCTTTTTGTTGGTAGCAAAATTCTCCCATTCTGCAACTAGCTTAGCCAATTTCCTTGTGGATAGCATAATATTCCCTTTTTGCATAATCCTGCCCATCCACATTGCAAAGGGAGCCATTTAAAACAATAAACACTTAAAACCACAGTTATCTACATCTCCTACTCTGGTGAGATAGCACAGAATATATCATGCTAATTGAAGGTCGGTAGTTCAAATTTGCCAAGTGCCTCACCATAGAAAGGTGGACACTCTCCTCCTATAAAGATCTACAGTCTCTGGGAAAGCTGGTGGAGGACCTCTGTGAGTCAGAACTTCCTTGATGGCAGTAGGCTTTGATACAGTGTATGCAAGAGTCAAACAATCCCATAAATGGTGAAGACACAGTCTTGGTGAACTCATTATTTTTAAGGAAACAGCCTTGGAGAAGTTCAGTACATTCTTCCTAAACTCTGTAGGAATTAATTGTACATGCATACAGATAGTCATCATAAATGGTAGATATTGATGTCCCAAATGTCAGATTACTCCATCAACTTGCCCATCATCCTTTCCACTTTCTTATCAGTAGAGTTAAGGGAACTTGTTCAGCATCTTCTCCAGTCCTAACATGTTACAATCTAGGGAAAGCTAATTGCTACCCTGTGGATTAAATATAATTCAAAAAGAGATATTCTGTTTGGTTTGTGAAATATTTTTTAAAATTTTAAACTAGCATTTGAAAGCTGATATATCTTTATTGTAGACCAGACCTGCATTTCTGTGTGAACAAGATTTGTAGATATAATGGCCATCTCCTTTAAACAGGCTTGCAATTTGCCATAGTCTGTACGGTCAGCTTTGGGGCAGGCTTCCAAAACCTTTTGAATGGGTGATCCCATATGGTTTTATCTGCATTAAACAGGATGAGGTTGAGGAAAGAAAATAGTTACATATAGAGAAAACAGTTCAGGTATAAAGAGAGCTTTGCACAATGAGGAATAAAACAAGGCAAATGTACAACCAAGACAATAAAATATGGCCTTAGAGAAAGTTGTGTTCATATACTGGCAATTCCTTTGGGACAGCAATGTGTACATTCACACAGTGGAATACTACTCATCTTTGAAAAATAATTAACTCATAAAACATTACACAGAATGGGAGAGCCTCGAGGACATTTAAGCTGAGTGGAATAACTCAGTCACAAATGGACAAATAATGCATAGCACTGCTGTTATAAAATAGGCAGACATGGGGGTAAGTTGGGGAGGGGATGGTAAAAGAATGGCAAGATTATGAACACAGCATTAGAAGAGAAGAGGGGAAGAACCATCTGAAAGGAAAATATGATTCGGCATTATTGTGTCTGACAACAATCTGGAACAAGAGGTGCACCATATGGAAGGTTGGGGAACAGGGAGAATGGGGGGAAGAAAATGTGCAACAAATGAAAAAATTAAAATAAAGCAATTTTATGTAAGATAGTAAACATTTTGTGAAAGTGAAGATTTAGGTATTGTGGGGTTATAAGGGGTTTCCCCCCCCCTGCCCCCGCTAATTTGTCTGTTTTTATTGTTTGTATCCACCTGGAATTAGTATCTTGCTTGATACCATAGCTGTATTGAGTATACAATGACAGTGATAAAAAAATTGTAAAGAGTATGAGGGAACTGCTAAATGCTCTGGGAATATATTTGTTGGATTTTACTGTGGATTCTGCTAGGCTACATTTATGGGTGAATTATGTTTTCGCGATTACCCAAAGGCTTCCAATTTTTAAGACTCTTATAATAATTTTAATCCTTACATTCTTGCTAATATTGCATGAATTTAAAGCTAAAATATGGGATCAAATATTGATATGATTTAATTTCATTTTCTCTGCTAGAGATATTTTGAGAAAGAAAAATAAAGATCCAGAAGACCCACTTTAAAAATCTAAACAGGCTAACCAAGGCACTTCTAGTGCTTGTTGACACATTAACATGGATTTGTCATCTACAAAATTCATTCCATAAATAACAGACACATTTTTATAGAAAAATTGATAATTTAAGAAATCTTCAACAGTTTGCTTAAACTCCATAGCAAGAAATATACAATCTAGTCATTGCATCCATCTTGTGAAAGAGACATCAAAAAAGTACATCGGGATGAGTTGTGTATCCCCCAAAACTAACTTATTTAATCCTGTTTCAGACCCTGAGAAAGCAAGAAATGTGATAAACTTAAATACAGATTTTCTGGTTGATGGCCTTCACCTGCAGGCCATTTTCTAAATAGAAAATTTAATAATTCCTTTTCTCCTCATCAGTCAGCATTTTAAAATGACCATAAAAATTTTCATTGTGGCTTGCTCTATTGTAATTTTTAGTATTATTTGATTATGGAAAATTTTCCACATTTTACCTTTTCCTTAAGGAAATGTTTGCTATGTTTCTTTGGTAATAAGGACCTTAAAGGAGTTTCAATGGAGATTTTGA